TTAGGCAACAATATATTTTAAAGTGCTTTCACATTTATATATAATGAGCATTCTCCTTCTTTTTGACAGCTGTGTATCTGCTGATGGACAAGTTTCTGATCTATTGCAGATAATATTCAATGAAGAACATTAACGTATGTGTCATTGCATAATGTGAATTAAAATTCTATTTCTTCACCCTGTGCAGTGTGTGTGGACTTGTGACATGCTTTGACTAATACAATATGGCAGCAGCAATGTGTAACTTCTCAGCAGTGCCTTGAGAGACCCTGTAGCTTCTATGTTCATACTCTTGTAATCCTGAGGCCATTATGCTATGAAGAAAACCAGGATGAAACACCACATGGAGAGAGAGGCCCAGCTGCCCCTTCTCACCCAGCCGTTAGAGCTGAGGTCCCAGACATGGTATTGTGACAGAGACCATCATGGGTCATCAGCTGCGGCAGAGGTGCCAGCTGACTGTCGCCACCTGAGTAATCTGAGGTAATATCCGCAGAAAAACCACCCACCCATCCCTAGAATCTGGAGAAATAATAAATCATTGTTTTATGCCTGTGAGTATTGAGGTGCTTCCTTAGGAAGCAGTAGCCAACTGATACAACAGGAATACCTTTCAGATAAATTCAGAAAAGGGACCGCTTGTTCAAAGTGTATACGCATTATAATTTTGATAAATATTGTCTGGGTTGTCTTCTTTTGCATTCCTACCAACAATGGACAAAAGTCCCTGTTTCCCTCAGAGGCTTACTGAAAGAGTTTTATCAAACACAGGGATTTTTGCTAATGCGATAAAAAAATGCTATTTCAGTTTTGCTTCAATTGCCATTTCTCATATTACATGTGAAGTTGAACATTTGAATAGTGTTCATATCCTTATGAATTTTTGGTAATCTGTCTGTTATGTTTTTCACATAACACTTGGTCTTTCTTATCAATATGTGGGAGCTCTTTAACTAGCCCTTTGTATATGATAAGAATTATAAATGTTTTCTAGTTTGTCTTTCAATTTTGCTTTGATGTTTTTGCCATGCAGAATTTTTTCATGGAGACAAATGAGGTAAGTTTTTTTATAGCTTCTAAATTTTTTGTTTTAATTGTTTAGCCCCACCCAAGGACATTTTTATTTTCGTTACTTTTAGAGAGAGAGGAAGGGAGAGAGAGAAACATTGATTGGTTGCCTCTTGCATCTGCCTGGATCAGGGATGGAACCTGCAACCTTTAAGTTACTGGGCAATGTTCCAACCAACCGAGTCACACCAGCCAGGGCTCTAGCTTCTAAATTTGGAATGTTGCAGTAGAATGGCCTTTCTCATTGCAAGAGTTATAAAATATTTTACCCATATTTTCTTCTAGTATATTTTGGAGTTTATCCTGACAATTGGAGTTTGACCCATCACCTTTAAAATGAAGTTTAAGGCCAAGGTTATGGCATGGGTAACCTTCTGTCACCCATGTAGACAGGAAACAGGAAAAATCAGAAGCTGGTTTAAGAAATAAATACTCAGGGGTGGAGGGAATGATGCATGCTGTTTGGGACACGTTGAATTTAAGATGCCTGTGGGACATCCAGAATGTCTAGGAGGCAAGTAGATAGATTCTGAGATCTGGAACTCAAGAGAACATTTTGAGTTGGAGATATGGATTTGGGAACTAACACGTGGATGTCGGTTAAAGCTGACATATATGAATGTGTGTAGAGTGTGAAGAGGAGAGGTTCTCAGATGAAGCTCTAGGGGGTGATCAAGGTTGGGCCCAAAGCACATCACGAGGAAAAAGTTGTGGGGGCTTCATCTCTGTGGCCCTTGGGGCTTGGCACAAAAACAGCCTCACACACACTTTCGGGGTAAACAGAGGACCTTTACTTGAGACACGTATGACACGTATCTTTGCCCTTGGCGGACACAGCTAACCATGAGCGAGATGAGGACCATAACTTCCCTAGCTGTCAGCCCCAACTGACAAGAGAGACCTTGTGTCAAAGGAGGGTGAAGGCTCAGTCTTACAGGCAGTCTACTCCCTGCTGCCCTCAGATGATCCAGAGCAGGGCATCGACTGGTGGCAGCAAGTGCCCAAAGGTGGACGGAACACCAGGAGCCACCGCTAGTTAGTATTTTCCATGGGTCACAGTGTGATGGTTAAGACCACAGACTCTGGAGCTCACTCTCTGAGTTCAAATTCTGGCTCTCTTATTTACCAAGGTATAACTTTGGGCCAGGTACTTAACATCTCTGTGCTTCAGTTTTTATCTATCTCACAGAACTGATACGAAGATTAAATGAGTAAATATTTATGAAGTACTTATATTGGTGCTTGGTACATAGTAAATGCTGTATGAATTTTATATTAAAATTAAATTTTATTCATTTATGAATATTTAATGATCAGCTACTGTGTTCCAGGCACGGTTGAAAGTGCTGGGGACACAACAGTGAATAATGTAGGTGAAAATCCCTGTCCTCATGGAGCGTACATTCTAGTAGGGAGCAGAGAGGGGATAAAGGCAGGCAATATATAAAATACATAAGCCAAGCCCTGGCTGGTGTGACTCAGTGGATTGAGTGTGGGCTGTGAGGTCGCCAGTACGATTCCCAGTCAGGGCACATGCCTGGGTTGCGGGCCAGGTCCGCAGTGGGGGCCATGTGAGAGGCAACCACACATTGATGTTTCTCTCCCTGTCTTTCTCCCTCCCTTCCTCTCTCTCTAAAAATATATAAATAAAATCTTTAAAAAATAAGTAGGCCAAATATATGGTAATATGAGACCCAAGTCAAGGCACAAGAGACTTGCAGGTGTTAACAAGGCCACTAGCCAGGACCTGGTACACGGTGGGGCTCAGGAGATGAAAAGGGGAGAAGACCCTGGACACGCAGCAGAATGGGGTCCCTAGCAAAGACATCAGCGCTGCTGGCGCCCTCAGAGTAACAATCGTCATTACACCGGCATATAATAGCAAGAAACACTTATAGAGCATTTATTCTGTACCAGGCACTGTTCTATTCACTATATTTATATCACCTCTTCAATCCTTACAGCAGCCCTATAAGGTTGATATTGTTACTGATCCCATAATTTAAGTGAAGAAACTGAGGCACAGAGAGGTTAAGTAACTTGCCTTAAAGAGTTATATAGTAGGTGAATGAGCTGGGATTCTAAACCAGGTCATCTACCTCCAGTGTCAGTGGGATGGACCTACATGTGGAAGAAATAGGGCAGGCTGCCAAGTCTCAGGATCAGGTAGGACCTGACCTTTATACAGACTGAAAGAAAAATACTCATACATCACCAATATCCACACATCCAAAACCCCATATATTTAATACACACTTCACAGTTTCTCATAGGGCCTGAGTAACAAAGGACCATGAAACAGAGAAAAGGGTTCAACTCTGGAAAGCCCCATCCCCAGAGCCATTCTCCGTAGATGGCCCCTGCTCCTCATCCCCTCCACAAGCCTTTGAGCCCAGTCTCCTGGGACCTTAAGTCAACATCCCAAAGCTAGATCCTACCCAGAGACCAGAAACAAAATGATGAATATCAGCCCAGGTTGGTGTGGCTCAGTGGATTGAGTGCCAGCCTGCAAACCAAAGGGTTGCTGGTTCAGTTCCCAGTCAGTGCACATGCCTGGACTGTGGGCCAGGTCTCCAGTGGGGTGCGCAAGAGGCAAGCACACACTGATGTTTCTCTCCCTCTCTTTCTCCCTCCCTTCCCCTCTAAAAATAAGTAAATAAAATTCTTTTTAAAAATGATGAATATCATACTCCAGGGCTATTTAACAAAGGAAGCAACAATTTCAAATTACAGCTGGGAACCAAAAAGGCAAGTCATCAAAAGGCTAATAAACAGAGAAAGGCAAGTAGCACTGCCGAACCCAGAGAGTGCTGAACTCACAGCAGTAAAAGCCCATGGAGGGGAAACACTCAACGTGTTCCAAGACCCTCCCATATCTTCCTGACCTCACTGGATATTGTTCAGTGTTTTACCTTAAGCAACACAGAAATTACCTGACCAAGTTGTCCAATGGACAAAGTGAGTCCCAAAGAGGAGCAATGAATTATTCAAGATCACACCCAGGACTAAGAGTCAGAAGTCCCAAATTCCTTCCACTGTACCACACAGATAGAGTATGAAGGAGACAGATAGAGAAGAGGAGAGGGGCAGGGAGGTGGAGGCTGATATGGAAGACCCAAGAGCAGAGAAATCCTTCCTTGTGATCTGCAGGACAGGGCTTGGCCTCCTGAAACCCCTCCCACCTTTAATTTCCCCTGTGATCAGAGGAACCCTGATCACAGCATCCTCATCTCTTCATTCTTGACTGCAGGCAAGCTAGGTTCTAAAGGGAAGAGGAGAAGGTACAAAGCCCCTTGTATAGAATCAGACAGCATCTGACAGTTTCCAAACTCAAACTGTTGAAGGATATGGCAGGGAATACCCATAAAGATGATCTCCCCACCCCTGTACTGCCACCCATTGTATAGATGGGAGATTGAGGCCCAGAGACAAATGACTTTCTAGAAGGCCACAGTAACTCAGTCATAGGAATCTGAGTTTCCTTACCAGGGCATACTACAGAGGGGTCCTTCCTTCTCCTGCTTGAACCTTCATATAAACTCCCTGCAATCAGCTGTGGGATCCTGGGCACTCGTTCATTCCAGGTATGCCCACACTCAGTTAGTGGCTTTGGGACTCCTATTGAATGTAAGTACCACAAGTGCAAGGCATTTTAATCTGTTAGGCCTTGATGTACACCCCACTCCTAGAACAGTGGCCCATAGTAAGTGCCCGATAAATACTGAATTATTGAACATCTAGAGGACCAGGATTATAGAGAGGTGTCACTGTGAGAGTCTGAAGCCTAAAAGAGAAAACCAAGGAACCATGAGTTTTATCTTCAGACATAGGAAAGGCTGAAATTCTGCCTACAGATATTTACGGAGGGCCCATTGGGTACGACGGAACTAGGCGCTGGGGATTCAGATAAAACAAGACAGTCATTACGCGACTTCAAGTGCTCACAGTCCACTCTAATGTGGAATGTGTGCAGATTTTGGCGGGGGGCGGGGGCCCCGGAGGGTAGAGCCCAGTGCAAAAGACAAACTGCTCGGTGAGATTCAGACACTCTTCTCAGCCTGAGGTGCCCTGAAATGGTCTCGTTGCTCATCAGGTGGTGAGTGCAGCGGGACTGCAGTGTTCAAGCAGGGTGCCCTCCGCCCACCTGTCAGCGGTCGTGCCAGGAGTGTGCGGGAGAAGAGATTTCTGCCTCGGATGAGGTCATTTCCCACCCCCAGATTCTCTGCCTTCAAAACCCTGCAATTCTGACGCTGGATCTTATTATTTCCTTAATTTCAAGGTCCCATGATGCTGACAGCCCCAAATTCCGTCTTCAGTCTGCCCACGCCCCTGGACCCAAAAGAAGTAAGAGCCGAATTCATCAAGGGTCCTACCACCCACTGCCTCAAAAAGTCTCTGGCGTTAGTCAGCGCCCTCTCCCGCCCGGTGAGAGCTGGAGGGGCGTAGCCCGGGCGCCCGCGACCAGGTGGAGAGCGGGGTGCTCCGCAGACGGAGTTGTCGGAAGCCGGGACACACGTGACGGCCCTAGCGTCACGTTCCGTGGTCCGGAAAGCGGGGACGGGTCTGTCACGTGATGCGAGGGTGCACCGTGGGGTGATGTGAGATGCAGGGCCTCTCGGATTACGTATAAATGACGCATTCCCACCCCTTTTGGCAGCTTGATTGCCGTTGAGAGATACGACAGTTCCGGCAGCGGGGGCGGGCTCTCACTTCGCAAAACCGCCAGGGTTTTGCTTCTGGTCCCGACGTTGCAACTTCCGACCTCCGCCTCGGTCCTGGGCGGGGAAGAGACGCGAACTCGTGCGCATGCCCGGAATCCTCCAAAAGGAGGAGGGCCTAGGCTCCGGGAGCGGGAGGGGGGAAAGAAAAGGGAATTCCAACCTGTGGAGTCTCCGGGGTCCCAACTGTTAGGTCCTTTCCAGTGACTGTGGATGGTGTCAGGGACGGAGCCTCTCGCAGCTCGTGGGGGATTTGGGGGCCCGCAGGGTGAAGGCGGAGGGGAGTGTCAGGGTGTGAGGGGAGTTCGGGAGTTCCAAACTTAGAATCTTGAGGCCCTCGGGGCTCAGGTGCAGGGGAGAGGGAGCTCGGGCCACCATGCGGGACAGGACCCAAGAGCTGAGGCAGGTGAGAAGTTGGGGCAGCAGGGTTGGGTCGGGGGGACGGGTGGGATCTGCCTGGAACGCCGGTTTCCTGGTCTTCGGGGCAGGGAGGGGTGGCTGAAGTCTGGAAAGGGAAGACCCGGAAGGAAGCCAGTTAAGTCCTGCGGGGAGAAAGCGACAGCAAGGCAGTGATGCCAGTGACCCCGGCCCTGGCAGGGGGATGACAGCTCGGATGATGAGGACAACGATCGGGTCGCGCTGGTGGTACACCCGGGCACGGCACGGTTGGGGAGCCCAGACGATGAGTTCTTCCAGAAGGTACGAGGCTGGGTCTCTGCCTGGATTCACGAGGGGGCTGGAGGATCTGAGGAGCAGCGCAGTCTGGAGTACCCTCATATCTCCTTCAGCCGTCTCGGTCACCCTCCCCAGGTCCGGACAATTCGGCAGACTATTGTCAAGCTGGAGAATAAAGTCCGAGAATTGGAGAAACAGCAGGTCACCATCCTGGCCACGCCCCTTCCTGAGGACAGTGAGTTGAAACCTGGATGCAGAACGCATGCTCAACCAGAGGGATTTTTGGGTACTGTAGTTCCAAGCAGGTGGTAGCAAGGGAGATTTGTTGATGTAGGGACTGCTTTTTCTTGTTTAGGCATGAAGCAGGACCTGCAGAATCTGCGCGACGAGATCAAACAGCTAGGGAGGGAGATCCGAGCGCAGTTGAAGGGTGAGCTCCTAGGACCTGACCCTTCTTTTGGTTCTTGCCAAGCTCCTGATATATCTGGGGAGTTGTGTGGCCCAGAAAGGCCTGTGATATGTCCAGGTTACACAGCAGTCTGGAATCTCCATCTCCAGGCTTCCAAAAGCCCATAGCTTTTTCCACAGCACATGTCTGCCCCCCCCCCCCGCCCCGGGTTCTTTTTTTAACTGTGAAACTGTCCACTCCTAAAATTCTTGCTGCCCAGTGTGCATTCTTTAGGCAGGTATTTGGGGGGGGGGGTTGTTACGAGGCCTCTGCATACTTATGGGAATTATTTGATGTATTGCGAAGAAAAATATCTCCTATCAGAAATCTATCTCCTGCCAGAGACTTAGAATTGAATTAGTCATTTAATGATCGATTGTATTTCCCCCCCAAATCGTATGGAGATAAGCACCTCTGTATTGTGTGGCTGAAGTACGGCCCTGGCCGTGTGTCCTGATCTCCAGACACTTTTCAGAAGCCACAGGCCGGCCCCCCTCCCCCACATTACCCTTGTGTCTTCCCACAGCCATAGAACCCCAGAAGGAGGAAGCTGATGAGAACTGTAATTCAGTCAACACAAGGATGAGAAAAACCCAGGTGGGTTTGTTATTCCCAGAACTAGGGCATTTCAGCAAGTATTTTGATGACAAAAAGTAAGAAGGGGGAACTTGGAGATCATCCAAATGGAGAAACTGAGGCACAGAAAGAGAAAGGACTTACTCAAGATCAAGAATCCAGGTCTTCTGGTTCCCAATCTGTTATAACTCCCTGCCTTCTTTTGAATTCAGTGAGAAGTTGCTGAGTCCCCAGATATGACCTGGGCTCAGCTCTGGGAGACAGGTGACAAAGACATTACTGAGGTAGGACTTGTTAGCTAGTGGCTCTGCTCAAAGAATAAGAGGGAGCAGTCATAAATGACTGGGAGGTTTCCTGCCCAGAGGACATGGACATCCTGTGCCCCAGGGGCAGAATTAAAGAAGTTAGGAGGTGGAACTTTCCTGGAGGGAATGTCACTGAATGAACATCTTAGCAGGGAGATTTGAGGTGATCTGACCAGCCCCCTCTGGGTGCCCAAAGAGGAGGGGTTTGGAATTCTTGGAGGTCAGAATTGGAGTGGGTGGTCCCAGAGCTCAGCAAAGAGCCCAGATTGAAGATGGAGCAGTTTGGGCATCTTGAAAGGGTGCAGCTGAAGCCAAGAGAACAGTTGTGTCTCTGAGGAAAGTACTCCAAGGAATAAGGCATCGGGGAAATGGACAAGGCCAGAGGGCATTTCAAAGGGAGCCTGAGGTGGTCCTCAGTGTAAGAGGCCGAGTGCCCAGCTGGACCTGTAAAATCTGGCCACAGATTGAACTCCAGGCACATCTCTAGTCTAAGCAGTGAGGCAACTATTCAACAAGTATGTATTGAGTGCCAGCTGTTTGGCCTACAGCAGTGAACCGAAGATCCCTGTCCTTGTGGAGCTTACATTCCAGTGGGGAGAGACAATTACCATAATACATAAGTAAATTATTTTAGAACATTGTTAAGTATTAAGGAAAAAGGTGCAGAAGTGCTCAGAAAAGGCAGGTTGCAATTTCAGTGAAGTGGAGAACACTGCATTCAAAAGGTAATATTGAGCAGGGAAAGGTAATATTGGAACAAAGACTTAAAGACCTTCATGTGTCAGGAGCATGCTATGCTGAAGGAGCAATGAGCGCAAAGGCCTGTGGTGGGAGTGTGCTTTGTTCAGGGAGGAGGAGGAAGCCCACCGTGGTTGGAAGAAATAAGGGAGGGACAGTGGGAGGAGGTGAGGTCAGAGGGAAACTGGGGAGGGGCAGGTCACATAGGGCCTTGTAGGCACTGGTAAGGGCTTTGGCTTTTACTTTCAGAGAATGGGGGAGCTTTCATGGTGGTAAAACAGCAGGCACCTATATCAGCTCATGCTGTTTGCTCATCGTACTGATGGGGATGCTGAGGCCCAGACTGGGCAGGGATCCTCCCAAGGGTGCCCAGCCTGTGTTCCCTGTCTGTAGCATGGGATCCTGTCCCAGCAATTTGTGGAGCTCATCAACAAGTGCAACTTGATGCAGTCTGAATACCGAGAGAAGAATGTGGAGCGGATTCGGAGGCAGCTGAAGATTAGTGAGTTGTGGTACCTGGCCCACAGGGTTGGGTAACCTGACCCAGCTCTGAACCTGGCCTTTTCCTTCACAGCAAATGCTGGAACGGTATCTGACGAGGAGTTAGAGCAGATGCTGGACAGCGGGCAGAGCGAGGTGTTTGTGTCTAATGTGAGTGGCCACAACCAGCCTCCCTCTGCTGAGCCTCCCATCCTCTTCAAACTCTGGCCCTCTTTGATTGAGGGGATAGTGAGACCCAGAAGGGAATAAATTTGCATGCCCGGAGTCACTCAGCAGAGCCCTGGCCCAGTTCTAGACCCAAGGGTTGCCCCTCAAATCAATAGGACCTTGTGGCCTGCTGCTGGTTTCCCTGTTACCTGTCCCTTTACTCCTGTCCACTCCCCAGATACTGAAGGACACTCAGGTGACCCGACAGGCCCTAAATGAGATCTCCGCCCGGCACAGTGAGATCCAGCAGCTTGAACGCAGTATTCGTGAACTTCATGAGATCTTCACTTTTCTGGCTACTGAGGTGGAAATGCAGGTGGGCACCCCAGGGAGCTGGCTGAGCTTGACCCAGACCCCAAATGTGAAACCATATTGAGTCAGACCCCCAGCCGTAACTGTCAGCCCATCTCCACCCTTAGCCTCTCTTCCTGATCCATTCTGGGCCATGCCCTCAAGTTTAGCCCTACTTCTACCCTTAGCTGTGCCCCAGAATTGCATTCACCTCCACAGCTACAAAGATGGCCACTCTTTTATACATAGTATTCCTGGCCCTGCACTTGAGCCCACCCCCCACTATAGCTCCAACCCTGGCTCCCCCTCCATCAATAGAATTACCCTTATACATCTAAGAGCTCTAGTCAAACTCGCCCCCTAGAAGGCCTGCCTCCTAAAATCTGTACAAGATTGGGGTGGGAAGTGTTATTCTTGCCCTGGCCCTGGTTGCGTGGGGGTGAAGTGAGCTTTTAGCCCTGTGCTGGAGGAGCTGACCCACTAGTGCTGTGGCCAATACCCTTTTATAGCTGGGAGCCATGGGGAAGTGGTTTTACTCAGGACTGCCAGAACCTGCACGCTGGTGATGCCATGCGGAGGCGGGAGTAGGAAGAGCTTTACAGCTGGGAGACAGGCCTAGGAGAATGGGTAAATTCAGACAATTTTGTGAGGGGACAAAAGTTCACACTCTGTGAAAAGGTATGAGCTCTTTAAGGCATTTGGCTCCAAGAAACTGCTACAAATAAAGGTTGCGTAGGGCAAGGGAGCAGGGAAGAAGGTACCACATGATAGAACAGGGCCTGGAAGCCACCCTGGGCTTGTGAACTGTGTCAGATGTGGTCCGGTCTCCATGCCTTGGTTAGTGCAGTGTTTTCTGCCAGTAATGTCCTTTGGTCATTTGGGACTGGGGTGGCCAGAGTGGACTACTGGGACCTCCCGCCCCACTCACTCCCACCAGCCTGAACTTCCACCTTCTGTGAACAGGGGGAGATGATCAACCGGATTGAGAAGAACATCCTGAGCTCAGCAGACTATGTGGAACGTGGGCAGGAACACGTCAAGATGACCCTGGAGTACCAGAAGAAAGCTCGAAAGGTGATCCTCCCCCCTCCCCTGGGTGGCCCTCCCTCCTCTCCTGAGTTTCCCTGACTCTCTCCTCTCTCACAGAAGAAAGTATTGATTGCCATCTGTGTGTTCATCACTGTCCTCATTCTGGTGGTCATCATTTGTGTCTCCATACTGGCTTGATAGCATCATGCATTCTCGGTGAGATATTGTGGGCCTGCCCTCCAGCCTGCCCCTTCCCTGGCCCCCACCTTGTTTCCTCCCCTTAGACCCTCTTCTCCTTCCTTCCCTTGCAGGCACTAAGAGCACCAGGGACCCAGGGTCTGCCTTCTTTGCCTGCAGCTGGGGCAGAGGCAGCACAGTGCCTCCAGCCAAACCCCCTTCCTCACACTGGCCCTGTGCAGAGGGGCAGATGGTTCTTCTGGGGTTGGCAGCCACTTGTTCATGGGGACCTCTCTCCTTGG